AAAATTTCTTATAAATGCATACAAAATCCGCAGTCTAATCATATATGTACAATTTTAAACGACACTCGCAATCAATACGATATCGTGTAAATTGTTTATTCCAGAAACGTTTCTCACTGAAAAATAAAGACGTGTCCGACGGTTTCTACTTTTGGATACCAATCACAATAGCATCTTCCTCTAACGTGAATTTCATAACGACTTCAACGAAAATTTGGTTGGGGCCAAATAAAAAGGAGATTATGAATCCGAGTACAGACGACTGGTTCCTCCTAAACGTTCAGCAGAGCGGTTACTATCGCGTCAACTATGACAAAGATTCGTGGTTACGTTTGATGTTAGCGTTAAAAAAACCAACGCACAGCTCGATCCATGTGACAAATCGCGCTCAAATCGTCGACGACCTTCTAAATTTGGCTCGCGGAGATTACATAGATTACGAGCTAGCGCTCAATGGCACTACGTACCTAAAGAAGGAGAAAGATTACCTGCCCTGGAAAGCGTTCTTCAATGGCATCAATTTCATCGTACAGCGTTCCGAAGGTCACAACAACACTCTCTCGGTACTTAACGAGTACATCTTGAAGTTAACGTCAGAGATTTACGAGAAAATTGATTTCGTGGATAACGACGACGAAAACCACTTGAATCAGTTGAGCAGGGATCTGATTCTAACATGGGTTTGCAAATTCAACGAAACGAAGTGCGTGAATACGGCTAAGAAATCGTTCGCCAATTGGCGCAGCAGTTTAGTAAACAGGTAAGCTTCCTCACCTTTCTAATTTTCCATAATATAATGATGATACCGAGTCTATATTATTCGATGCCAGACCATAAATTAGAGTGTAGTGCCTTCAGATATTATGAGAGGCACATGTAAACCACCCTTTAGAACAATGATTTCTACATGTTTTAAAAGACGTCTCCTAAAGATAGAAAATATATACTTCAGCATCTCAGATGAGTGGTGCATTTAAAATGATACTTACTCGTCCATGTGAAACTGCCAACTCACTTCGCGAAAGCTTATAAACAATTAAGAGTTCTGATTTCATTTTCAGTAGTTCTGTAGTTCTTGAATATTTAAGTTGTTCAATAAACTGTTCTCTTTCTAGCTTTGTACATCCCTTTGAGTACGATTACTAATTTCGTTACTTCCACACAAACTTTTTCTCTCTTATAGGAATAATAACTAATTCATAGTGTACTGTGGTTATTTGGCCGTTTTATTATATTTTCGATCATTTCTAACGATAAGTATTGTTATACTATAGTTCTCGACTATAATTGAACTAGTAGTACTATTAATTAGAACTATTGGATAATTTTTTAAACAACTTTAAGTGAACGAATCTGTGGTACGACCATTTAAAGGGTGGTCTGTAGCTCAATTGCGATGAGTTCTGATAAAACTAAAAGAGTTTATGGATAATTTTGAACATGCTAAAGATAGTTCTTTACCTGGTCTTAACCATGATGTTTTGAATGATCTTTATTTATAGTACAGCTAAAATGGAGTAATAATGCTTATTGTATAAAAACTATTAATATAACCAAGTCAAGAACTAATTACGATGGCACATAAATTTCTCAACAATCTTCTTCGTGCACCTGTGTATATTTGGTATCGAACAGTATCAAACACGTAAGCACCAAATACAATCACAAAAATTGCCAGGTATTCGTTGCATAAGTACTGCTAATAAAAATTGTTACCAAGAATTTCCTATTAAATACTTTTATATCAATTGTTTGAATACCTAATCGTATCAGTTCTACTAGTACTAGTATTCGTAATACATGTTCACAAGTCTGAAGCAGGCAGATTCACAAAATAGAAATAGATGAAATTCTTTTGTAAATAAAAGTGTCGAGTGAAATTGTTGAATAAAACGTTCCATCTGAATTTATTCACGTGAAATTATTCACGTTTTCACGTTCAGATTTCACGTTGAATAAATAAAAACACATCCAAATAATTGTTACATCGAACAGATGTTGCAGATAAATCTCTACATTGTGTCTTTATTCGTTATCTGTTGGTCAAATAAAACTCTCTACGTTTATATTCTGAAACATTGAACCATTAATTTTTTATGTTATTATGCTGAAGGAATCGATGCAACGGATCATAGAAGGTATTGATCTCATGAATATTTTAATAAAATTTTACTTTACTCCTGTGATTAATACGTTGATAAATTACGATTTGTTGACTACATTTTTTTTTTTTTTTAGCTGAATGTCCTTGTAACATGATTACTTAGTTCTCAGGTTATATTAATTGTACTCACAGAATAACCATAGGTTTCAAACTATTTCAGATATGGTTTCTTGTGTCAAATATTTCTTAATATGTTTTGACATTCAAAAATCTTAACAAATGATTTCATGCTCGCAAGATATACGTAAACTATATCGAGAATTATTTATTGACCACCACTCATTAACTATTTCAGCCTTCAAAATGAAGTAATACTGAAGTAATGATGAAGTAATACTTTCTTTAAGACTGATTTAATGCTCTCAAATTTGATTTCAACACTTTTAATCGTTAAACTACTCCTTTACACAACTTATTTAAAAGTCATAGTAAAACGGCAATCATACAGGCAAAAGACAGAGAATATTACTCACACGTGTGGTATGATCTTCAGAATTTCACCAAATGCAAGGCCAGCCATCTACTGTACAGCCATAAGATTTGGATCCGATGCTGATTGGCGCTTCTTGTGGGAACAATACCTGGCCACACAGTTTGCTTCGGAAAAAAAAATTATACTAGACGCCCTTGGTTGCACGCGACAAGAGACGTTACTGCGCGAGTAAGTCTAAAATAGTATTAATAATGGATCCTGGACGCAGAATAACTGTGAAACCTTATTTCACAATTATTATATTTTTAAAATAGTTAAACACTTCTGATCGATAACATTAAAATTAAAATCAATATTGCTATTGTTACTTTTTTGTTTCATGGCAGATACATTCAATACGCATTGAGTCGTAATTACACGGCGAACATACGAAAACAGGATGTCAGTGCGGCACTTGCTTCTATCTACACCTCAGGACAATTTGGACTAGAAGTGATGTTGGATTACCTGTTACAAAATTATGAAAACGTCTATGCACAGTAAGTGAACAAATATTAAGAAGAAAATTTGTATCGTCGAAGTATGCAAGAGAAATATTACTATATACATCGTATTATGTTTCAGTTATGGTGAATGGAACAGCGTTGGACAATTATTCTCTAAAGTGGCATCTCGCATATCCACTCCACAACAAATTGAAAAGGTATTTTTATTGCACTAATAGATATTTTAAATTGTTAATATTAAAAACTCTATCATGATTCTTTAAGATGAATGAATATTTATTTGCATGGATATAGAAAAATAGTGTAATACGTCGTGAAAGCGTTGTAAACATATGACTAGAATGTTTATAGTACCCCATATTCAAATTCTTGTATCGCAAGAATTAAAATGCTACTCTCACCTTTATACAGGGTGTAACAGCTGACGAACATCACCTAAATATCTTTTTTATGATATGAAAATCACGCCATAAATAATTTTCATATCACAAAAAAGAAGGTAGATATTTTCAGCTGGGATACAGTGTTTAAGCGTTCACTGAATAAACAATTTGTTTTCTTTTTCTTTCAGCTCAGCAACTTCATAAAAACGAAAGGGAAAAACATCATATCCATTTTATCTACCCTAGAATCATCACTTAAAACCGCAGAGGATAATTACAAATGGTACCAGACTCACTATAATCAAATTGACACATGGTTGAGTTGGTACAATAACGGTGGAATCGTTTTTAGTAGCTTAGGTATAGTTTCCATGACGATATTTTCAATAATCGTATACATGCTTAGTCAGTAAATATTGCAAATTATAACTGAATAAGAACTGAGATATGTTATGTTGATATATATAAAACGTTAAAAACCGAAACATATTCTATAGAAATTAAGTATTGCATCAATAGTATTATTATAAAATAAAGAAAATAATATATAAATTTATTTCTGATTTCCTTTCGGAATATTATTTCCTGCCAGTCTCAACGCACTACTTCGTTTGCTATACTTTGTTAACTTCGTTAATCTTGAAATCGCATCCTTAATTCCACATTTATTCTTTGGAATAATCGGGAAAATATCCAAGTATTTTATATCTAATGACTTACTCCGTAAAACACTCGTAGATTAATAGAATTTTTTCAGAGCAAGAATTTGGGAATATTGGTAAGAATTATTTCAGTATTTATCGTCAATATACATGGTCTACGTATTAAGTTATGCTACAATTTTTTGGCAATTCCGATAATGCAATCAAAAAATGTTGTAGACAAAAGTTTATCAGTTTTTGGTGTGCTACGTGTTCGCATATTTTTAGATTTGAAAAAATGCTTTTTACGTAAACATATAAAGATAGATTTTCGAATTCAGTCAGTTCAAGGTCATATTGTATCAATGTTGAATTCGTCTCGATATCAGCAATGACACTATGACGTCCAAAACATACGGTGCCGTTTTAAAAAGCCAAGATGACCTTTATATTTTTACGTAAAGAGCATTTTTTCTAAAATGTTTTTTAATTTGCACTACCTGAAATATCTAAAAAATGGCACCGTAACTTAACGGGTAGAGCCTGTATACCATTGTATCTATCGTATGTTAATATAATTATAATAATTATATTAAAGGGGTAACATGTCTGGAATGGTCCGAAAGAAGTACATATTTGAGCATTTTCATTCAACGCCGCAATTTTCTTAATTTTAAATATTTTTAAACACAAAAATTGCGACACATACACTAAGAAACGTTCTCTGGAATACTCTAAAACTTAACAGCAGAAAATTTTTCGTTTGTACCCCCCCCCCCCCCAAAAAAAAATCATAAATATACTTCTTTTTGCGGACTTGATTCGAATCGAAATTAAGCGAAATTATTATGGTACACAGTGTAAACAGAAATGTAAAAATCGATACAACTTTATTATATGAAACCGAAATACAATGCCATTATACAACTTGTTACAACCACAGTCTGTCTTTAAACAAAATGGCTTCATTATAATATGTATTCATATAGCAACAATCTCGTCACACGAACAAGAAAAACTGCAACAGAGCTGTTAGTTCATGCTTTTGCGGTCCATGACTTAGAAATATATTAATTATGAAAAACTCGTTCATCGTTTTCTTTTCACCTATAGAAACTGGAAGATCGGAATTCCAAAGTACTTAAATTATACATTGTGCGTGATGAAATTCGATCGTTAAATTGGAAAGTCCATAATATAATAAATACTGAGTTTACTCGCGATAAATTGTAACCGACGATATCATCATTTCTTATCCTAGTCTGAGATACCGTAAAAACGCCAAATTAATATCAAGTATTATGGGACAAAGGTTTATCAGTTTCCCGACGCGTAGAAATTCTTCAGCCACTCGTGTCAAACGAATACCAAACGATCTTCCAAAAACATAAGAACTATTTCATAGCGCAAAATCAATTGCGAAAACTGGAACGAATTTTTAGTGCCAATTGAAAAGTAATTACACGAGAGCTTTTCAACTCATCGATGAAAGACGTCGAAAGGACTATAACACGAGATCGAGAAATCGCAACAGAGAAACATTTTCTACCATATAAAGAGTTAAATTTATTACAAATAATGACGAATATTTCGAATTTTCTACGTTAAAAATATAAATTACACAGGGACATTATTGTTCTACACGTAATGGTCACAATTCGGGATCGATTAGGTGGGTTCGCATCAAGATCAATCCCGTTTATCCGTTAAACGCTCACGATTCTTAAAGTATCGAATTTTATGGTGCGTTTGAATATATATGGGCGGTAATCGACCTATCCTACCTATCAGCTAAACATCTATATAATTCATTGATAATATATTAATGTTCGACGCATATTTACAAAAAACTTACAAAAACACTTAATACACGTTTGTAAACTTCGAAAACATCCTGCTTCGCGCAAGTCTGCGTTTAATTGGAAATGAAAATGAGAGTTTGGTCGTGCGGATTCAATATCCCCACGGAATTGAACGACACCCGCAAACGTTGCCACATGGCCACGACTTCCGTCCTAGAACAATAATAATTGCTCTTCCAAACGTCGTAGATTCATGCGGTATTCCTTTCCTTCTTATCATTACGCAGTGTTCCTTTTTAACCAGTTTTTAATTGTAACGTGATTGACTTCTGTCCATCGTATGTTGGCTTGCGACTGTTCGATCGCTTGGTGCACTGTTCTCGCCGCGCTACTTAGCTCGTTTTTGTGCTCTGTCGTAAAGTCCAGCAACTAAACATCAAATGAAATAGCAATAAAATATTTGAGGCTATCACGGACTAGTTCTTCATGGTTGATACTAACTTCGATCGATACCGACGCGTTGGTACTGTTTCGTACGCGCAGTCTTCGCGAGTTATTACCGATGGGATTACGCACAAATTGCACACATCGCAGTGATAATCAGAAGCTGGGTTTTCCACACGATGTGGTCTCTTCGAAGGTCCGCTTTAGTCTCTCATGGTGTACATTTTTCCTCGTCGGTATGGTCGCTTTTGGGAATTTGAAGATGGGGAGTGATGGTAGCAGGGTAGGATGGTGTCATGGAGTTGAACACTCATGTATACTTGCTGGTTGAATCTTGTGAGGTCATATAATCGGTCGGAAATCGATCTTTACAACTTAAGCTAACCGCAATTAATAATCGGACACTTTTTTAGACAAGGATACAGCTAGACTTTTCGTTCAGGACCGTACGATATCAGAATTAGGAAGTTCATATTTCAATAATTTTATTCTTCTTATGTATAATCAGTTGTTCACATATAATTCTGTAATGGATAAATCAATTACCATAAAACTATTTCGTTTTGTAAAGTACATTCTGGGGGGGAGGTGGGGGTGGAATCTAGTTTTATCAAACTGACTCAAATATTTATGTTTTAAACTAAAAATAATTACGAAAAATATTACTTTTCACTTTCTAATACTTTTCTTTTAAGGAGGTTCAATTTGTCCACTTTCTTTAATTTTTTTATTTCATAAGTTTCCTCTTCCTTGGATGGTATGTGTATAATGTTAAGTTTAGGGAGTATCTTTTAACAAATTGCAGCATGATTGGATCAGCAATTTGTAAAACGACTTTACTTATTAAAAATACTGTGGCAGGTAGGAACTTAGCTAACCAATCATCGTCAAAAGTTTTTGGTTTTTCCAGTTTGGAAAAATCCGAGACACTCGTAACGTAACATATTTAGTCTTGGGATCTCGGCGTGCAACGTGGACATGTATACCTTAGAGCCGCGACATCCCTGTCGTCCTAGGGATCAATTACCTGTGCCAATAAAGGAATAACTGCTGTTTCGGTTTACGCCCTCACAAGACCCCTACCAGCGATTATAATTTATAGACTATAATTTACAGTCACTGGTAGGGATCTTGTGAGGTTGTAAACTGAAACAGCAGTTATTCCTTTATTGGCACAGGTAATTGATCCCTAGGACGACAGTTTTGGTTGAAACGCAAAAGTTTTATGGTAATCGATTCATCCATTACAAAATTATGTGCGAACATACTGTTACTTCATAAATATTGCTTCTAACATTTTGCCTCTCTATACATATGTACAGTTAGAATTTCCATCGAGTCTTAACCTTTCGAGCGACACATAAACCACTAAACGGAAGGCCAACAATAGTTTATAACATGCTATGTTATAGTTTATAACAGAGATACACCGAAGTATCTTCAATTGTCACTACAAAAGGGAAGAGCAAATTCTCACGAACCACCACTGATTCAACTAACTTGTAGAAACCTTCAACATTTACCAAGTTCTTAAATAAAGTTAAAGTTATTTGTTAAAATTGTTAAACACTCATTACAGTTCTGCTACTTCAATAGCTTAATTAATTCGGTTGTCATTAACGTTCACATTCGAAGTGAGCATACCAGAAAGACGTTCTTTCAAATACAACCAGCTATTTTGCTCACGCCGTAACACATACATAAGAAGAATAAAGTTATTGAAATATGAACCTCCTAATTCTGATATCATACGGTCCTGAACGAAAAGTCTAGCTCTATTCTTGTCTAAAAAGGTGTCGGTTTACTAATTGCGGTCGGCTTAAGTTGTAAAGATCGATTTCCGACCGATTTTACGACCTCACAAGATCCTTGTCAGCGATTATACAGGATGATCCGCTCGTTAACAGACACAATGGACAACCACAACAATAGCCGACTGTCATTGTAGACTTTATGACGATGATCCATACAGGCGCTTTCGCTACGGGGGTCACCATCATAAAGTCTGGAGTTCAAACAGTGCGATAAACGAGCAAAATGAACATCATGGTTTGCAACTTTGAGAATTGAAGAAATGAAGATGTCGTTGGCACGATACTTGAAAGCTCTTCTGTTGAAGAGCCAGTATACATATAGCAAGTATATAGCATACTTCGTGAAGAAGTATACCTTTTTCAAGAATCTAATGACACACATCTCCAACCAAACGATATTACTACAGTGCCTGGTGTTATTATTCAGATTTTATTAAGTGAGATTATACGGGATGAAAACTGAAATAAAAGTATGTTTTTTCAAGAATGTTTTGTATTAATGTACAAATTTTAGGAAACATCTTGTATTTATCTGATAATGGGACCATTGAATTTCTATGAACGTTTTCACAAGTATTTCCTGTTTCGTCAAATGATATATTCATACGCGCTTACATTTATGACTTGTTCAAATTTAAACATTTGAAAATATAAAACACTCTGGAACACATTTATAACATGCTGACAAAAGAAACCAGGAGTCGCTTCGAAGAATTTTTACATTAATATAAAATAATTTTGAGGAAATATACTTTTATTTCAGTCTCCATTTTTTTGAACCGAACTTAACAAATCTGAACAATAATACAGGTATCGTAGCGACAGATTTCACATGTAGGTATTCATATCAGTGTGTTGTTTGATCCCTGAAACGTCGGAGTATGTTATCCAAAAGACACGATTTACGTACGAAAACCTCAGTTAGTATCAACCATAACGATAGTTTCACAAAATTTCAAAAAATCAAACTTTATTAATACTTATTTCATTTTATTTTCAATAAATAATATAAATTCCTGTCTGAGCATTAAATGTGAATTTTTGTTCACGGTTGTTATCGTCTCAAAACTTTGACGCCGATTTTTCCGCCAATTTTTTATTCTTCACGATGTTTTAAAATACATAATAATTGTAACAAAATTCGGACAGACTGGAACTTTCTATTTTATACTTACATCTTTAAGCTCGCATCTGGTGTTTATGCCTCTGGTTGCTGATTTTACTATGTTGGTAATAGTTAGCGAAGATGATCCGAAACTGAAACAGATAAATAGTTAATATAATTAATGTCATTCATTTCTTTCGAAATTGATATTTTCATTATTGTAATTTAACAGTTGTATGAATATATTTTCTTGTATCATTTTATGAATTTTCCCATTTAATAATTCTTCTTTATTCCTAACTTTTAGTTCAAGAAAATAATACAATTATTTAATTTGGACTGTCGCGATGTTTTCTTCTGCATCACATTATGTGAAATACATAGCGTAGTAGATTTCTTAATCAAAGTCTTGTCTATTTCATTAATTTTCTTTTTATATTAATAATTTTTTATTTTAAAAGAGTTAAACATGTAATCGATCAAAATTAATATAAATAACATCGTTCTTAACGAATTGTAAATATCAATATATCTCCGACTTAGAAACAATTATCTTGAGAAGACGGCCTTTCTAAAATCTGAAACCTCTAATTTGGAATGTCTACTTGGGCTAGTAATTAAATCGAAAGAATTGATAAAATATAACGAAATACTTACTATTCTTTGAGACGTGACCACTTATTTCGGAGAAAGTTGAATGTTAGTGAATGTCCGATATTGTTGTTGGCGACAGAACTGACAACTCGAGTAACATCTTGTTTCCTAATTCCCGAATTCCCAGTGATTGTCCAATCCAAGTATCGACTTAGAAGCCAGATGTCCCTGCTGCAACCGAGTGCATTCAGAAGCAGATCCTTCTCGGAGCCAACGTTCGTTTCCAGATACCTTTGCCAAGCAAAGTCCCATTCGGTTTGCCCACCAACTCTAATGGCCGTGCAGTAAACGACTGTCTTCAAATTCGGCGAAATTCTACAAATAAATGAATACGTTTTATTTAAAGCGACGCGAGCTTCTTCAGTTTTGTATATGAACAATTTCAATACAATATTAATCGTCGTAACATTCGAAACATTGTTGAAAAGGCGAACATAGCAACGAATATCACAATATTAATTGCACCAATCATATTATCTGAAAATATAAAATGTCAAAGTTTCTGTTATTTGTATACTATTAATTGGTTTTCAAATAAACAGTTTAAAATTTGTAAGTATGGAGAAGTTCAAAGCATTCAGATAACATGAAATTGGAATAAATGTTCAAGATCAGCGTATACAATAATAATTCTCTTCTAAATGTTTACAAAATTCGTACAATTCGATGTTTTTGGTAAAAATCTGAATCAACGCAAAGTTCCATTTTGAAAACTTCTAGTTAAGGAAGAAAGATATTCGAAAGCCGTTTCATCCTTTAAAAACTGAATCGCATTATTACGATTTTAACGAATATTTCAGAAACGTCTTTTATACAATTAATACGAATCGAAACTCACGGGTTATTCTTGTTTGGATTTGGGGTGTTACGCCAATTGTGGAATTGCTTCATGGCATTTTGTACGCAGTCCTCGTGACCGAAATTACAAGCCCAAGTCAGCACGTCGATGCGGGTGAAAACTGTCAGCTGAGGATCTCCAAGGTTATCCTTGAATCCAACTTGCTTATACACGTTGTCGAGGAGTTTCAAGACATATACCTAAGAAAGACATTTTATCATGACGTAATCCGAACGTTATTGGGTTTTTCCTTGCGAAATCGGACACTGCGAAATAGAGCAGAATCTCAGACATTGTGTATAATAATGTGTATAGTAATACTTAGTATTCGCTTAAATATTAATAACAATCACGGTTCAGAATAAGTATTCAGCGAAGACATTAATCGTGAGAAATTGGTAGATATCTATTGGTTGTAATAACGAAAAATTAACCATTCGCACTCGGATGTCCCTTATGAAGAGAAATCGTAAGTCTAGCAAATTTTGGTTAGTGATAATGTAGAATAAATTTATGCTAGGGCAAATTTTTTTAAAATGCATGTTTCCTTAAAGTTTTCTTATTGAAATTGCACAAGAAAGCAAACCAATGTCCAACCCAAAGTGAGTTCAACTCTCCGTGTCTTATTTTTCGGTGAGACTTCTACGTTTGCATTTAATACGATGTATTAAACGGGATGATGTAATTCCATTTTCACGTATCATTATAAGTTTAAAGAAGACAAGACTCGCATTTAGTATTACTTCTACTTACTCGGAACTTATCGTAACCTGGCATCTGGATCAACATGTCATCCAAGTAGTGCATGGCAGTGAATGCAGCCTTCCAAGGCAAGTATTCAGTCTCGTGAGCTAAGTATGACGTGACATCCAACGCAGTGGCGTAATCCAATCTCCCAGCTCTCGCTAAATTCAACGCGTCGTCGATCAACTGAGCACGGTTGATCGTTGATATGTCTCTGAAGGAATCCTTGTTCAATTGGTGGATTATCATCTGCCAGTTTGTCCTGTCATAGTTGACTCTATAATATCCTGAAGAAACAGATTTGTATGAACTATTTTATGTGTACAAATTATGCAAGGTAAAGAACGCTTTATACACATGTTACATTAGAGTTCTTACCGGTTTCCAATACGTTGAAGATTACCCATTGGGTCGGGTTCAAATTTAAATTCGACATTGTAATCGTTTTCGTGGCTTTCATCCATTCGGATGGCTGAGTTTTATTGAAATCCAATTCACTTTCGGTCGTGTACGTGATTGGCACCCACCATAGTGGCTCGGCCTCGGACGTGGTTGTCATAGTACCATTGCGTAGTAGAAAACGTTCCTGAAACGAATGTATGATGGACCGCCGTAAAAGAAAGGTTATCCCGTCACATTTCGCTTTCAACGAACCTGCATCAACGTTACGGAGCCATTTTTGTAATTTCGAGTGACTGTCACCACGGGAAAACCAGTCTGAAGCGTCCAAGTATCCATAATTTCTTTTATCGTCACCGCGGGATCCAGTACTTTATCCTTGTGCGCCTGTTTTGTCAGAGCGTCCCATAGATCATTCTGCTCGGCACTTTGATAAGCCCTGTTACAAATTGCAATGAATAAAAAAGATGTCTGCATCGAAATTCAAATATTAATAATTTACTGTTGACTTTATATTTCCATCTCAATTAAACATTGACACGCAAAATATTTCAAACGCCGTAGATTGTAAGAAGAAATGGCTATCGAAATCATGAATTTTCGCTACGTATTAATAGCTATGCTTGGATAATTATTGTTATAATTACTGTTCCATTGGAATAAGCATACAGATCGCTGCAAGTGTGTACTTACTTTCCGTTCAGGTAATTTGTTAAACCCTGTTTGAAGACATCGGTGGTGAGGAAATGGTCCATCATTCTTATTATCGAAGCACCTGTTCGTAACGCGTTAATATTATATTATAAAAACCGTATTTTTGTAACTAATTGACTATGATACTGTTTTATACCTTTTTCGTACGAAATTCTGTCAAAGATTTCGCTGATCTCATCGGGATTGTCGACTTGGATCGATATAGGGTGCGAGGATTCCAACGCATCCAATCCGAGGACAGATTGTAGATCGTGAACAACAAATTGTTCCAAAACCTTCCACGTTGGTTCTACCTGGAAAATTCAAACAGAATATTACAGAGTAAAGACGATGTTCGATAATTCGATGTTTGATATCCGTTTAAAAATAAAAATTGTTTCGGCTAACATGCACCCGTACATCCTAAAGAGTTAAGAAATAATCTGTGTTATATGTTATAATTTACCTAATTAATTATATTTATAAAACTGTTAAATTATTATTTTTTAACGTTATTTAGATGTTCTTCGTTAGAATTATGTATCAGCCTGATTAAATGTTATATAAAAATTCAAATTTCAAATTAAAATGTGCTCTTTTTTACCTTCCACATCACTGTTCAGTTGAGCGAAATTAAATAATATTTTTCGAACGCATCAAGTTCCGTTTTATTTGTATGCCAACGGGTTAATTGCTTAGGATGTACGCGAAACAATGAAAGAAACTTGTTCAAGTCTTCTTACCTGGTTCATACCGATGTATTCTACATAAGAGGCAAACCCTTCGTTTAACCAAAGATCTGTCCACCAACTCGGGGTCACCAAATTTCCAAACCACTGGTGAGCGAATTCGTGAGCAACTACAGTGGCTACTCGTTGTTGGTTACTGTTAGTTGAGACACCGTCTTGGTATAACATAGCAGTCTCTCTGGAAACAGAGTGGAAACGGATAAGTTTAATTGTCTTAAAACTCTGAAAATATGTAAACTCTTAAAATGAAGAATTGAAGGGACCACGAAATAAAACAGTAATGATATAACTCTACTGCTGTGGATTGAAAAGATAATTGGTACTCGAGTTTTTGTCTTTCAAGGTAGTCCAAAAAATTGATGGAAGAAGATAATAAAGTTAACCAAGGACTACCTAACAACAACTTCACGACTTTCAATCTTGCAAAACCAATCTAATTCTTCTAAAAGAAATAGGATTAATCAACCTTATGTAGGACAATGACTAAAACTATAAGTTAAATACGATATATTATATGTGATATATTATATTAGGGGGCATGTGACATCAAATAATATAATTGAACAAAAAAAGATAGATACTTTTCTAAGTAAAAACGTGTATTGTTTTTTTGAATAAAATAACAGACTAGAGAATTATTGAATTATACAAACACGAATTGAACAATTTATAATATATACAAATTTTATTAAACTACCGCTACGTTAGGTAAATTATGATAAATGCTTAAAGATTACATGTCTCTTCCAAGTATCGATTTTATTTGCCTTATCTTCTTTAAAACAGTAATATAATTTTTAAAAAGCAATTACTATAAAATGTAAACAATGTAAAGAAACATATTTGACTTGTAAAATGTTTGTCATTTGGTTTTTCAGTGAAGTGCTTTCCAAGTGTAACTATAATACAAAGATTGTAGAATATCTGTCAAAACGAATAACATTTGGAAATTAAAGCCCTACTTGACGTAATAATCATTTTTTATATTAACGAGGAGATGTAAAAATCAGAATAACATTTACCTGTATGTAATTAAGCCCCAATTCTCCATGGCGCCCGCTGAAAAATCGGGCAGGGCGACGTTGTCTATCTTGGGCAAAGGGAATTTAATCTTGAAGTAATCCTCGTAGTACTCGAGAATCTTCGGACCAATCTTCAAACAATAGTTCGCTTGGTCGATCGCTTCGCTGCGTGCCCAGACTCTGAAGTTCCCAGATTCCGTTTTCAGCATCTCAAAGTCCGAAACTATGAATGCCACCAAATAGGTAGACATCGGTACCGAGCGATCGTAGTGGTCCCACACGTACGAAGGCAAACCAGGCCTGAGATGAACAACAACAAAAATTCATAACCAAGGTCTACATAATCGTTTGCTTTAAATTAATACAGTGCTAATCGATCCGGAAATTTCCCTCTTTACGGTACATACGCATTATGCATATTTCTACTAAATATGTGCAATGAAATTAGAGATAATATTGGCAGATACTAGACAAGAATTCATTTTCAAAAGGTGGACATATTTGAAATCACTCGTACTGTTGGTGTTACGTAGACTCGTGTAAAGGGAAGCCACAGCAGTTTCTTTTAAATATTTCTTTGTTATGATCATATTATTGTGCGCTGTGCTAAAATAAGTAAAAATTAAATGCGCATTTATGATAACTAGACTTCGGATTTTTATGCATTTATAGGAAATTTGAATATGCAATAAACTCCAAATACACACGATATGCAATAATATAAAAAAAATATATTGAAAGTAAAGTTCATATTATAATATATTCAAAGTGAAATAAATTTCTATTTAGGTTCAATTTTTGTAAGAATGTTTGCAAAGATTTCATTTTACATAAGGATCCGCGGTCTGATGATAACGTTTATATATATAAACTTAAAATGCATTATTTACAACGTTTCGTCTGGTCATTTAATGTTTGTTAAATTAATCTTCCATCAATTCCGTATGCTCAGTCGTCGTCCGTAAATAAAATGAATTAAACTTCGAGCGTTAAAACTAATTTTAGCCTCACGACAGGATAAAACATCAGGAATCCTTGTCATGACATTGATATTATCCTTTAAGATACGAAGCTTCATGGTATTATCGAACCTGAGTAATTTTCCATCTATGTACGAGTATTTAAATACACATACAAATTCTTCAGCTTAAAGTATTTTTTAATGACGCTATTATTTCGTTATTTACCTCTTCACTATAGTACAGGATTTTTCCGAGTTATATTACATTACGGGATGTACTCTATAATGAACTGTATAATTAACTTAGATGATTGTATCTTACGAAAACAAATTGATTACGTGCTCGTTGAACGTGATGTTTACTAGTTCTGAAATATTAACTCTACATTTCAATCGCGCGTATGGTTCCAGTGTGAAGGATGAAATACATCGTCCATTTTCAAAAATGTACTATAAAAATTAAAAAGAACACTACGAAATGTGTTTTCATACGTCAAAGCACTTGTGTTATTTATTATTTTCGTATCTTCTTCGACATTCTATAATTTGAAATGATTGAGTCTGTAACGAGACAGGTTGAATCTATTCTGTTAAATTTACCATAATTTATAATTTGTAACCTTAAAAAGGAATAAAGAATAGAGTCAAAGTTTTAAGTCTAGAGAGAACGTATTTTATTTAAATATAAACATGTTCTAAAGCTTAAGCTGTGGTCTACAGTGACGAGATCACCGAGTGTATTTGTCAACAAACTCGAGAATGTGTGAAATGGTGTATATTGTGAAAGCATTATTTAAACAGAGATTACGAGTGATCGTTATGATAAGAAATATGGAATTTCCAAACTTGGAATAAACAAATATGAAAAAGCAGTGTACGCTTACGCATTTTGTACACAAGAAATTATTTGGAAATTTAATAATTAACGATGGAAAGTAAGTTTGTGTATACCATTCGTTGTACTTTAACCTAATCCGTTGTTTCTGGAAATATTTGCAACATTAAAACGTTGATTATTATTATCATGGGAAATGATACATATAAGTTACATGTACAGGGTGTAAGGAAATGTTATGTCGTGGCTTGTCACAGATGATTCTACACTCTCTGATCGGCGAATATATGTTACCAAAATTTTCTGCGATATTGATCATGACCATGACGTTGACCTTGAAATTAAAGATCGAACTTTTTTAATCGTATCGTGTGACAGTCACAAAGGAGACCAAAAGTCTCAAAGGAAAAATACGTCTCAAAGCAACAGCGTCGTCAAAATTGATGTTGCAGTTTAACTATCAATTAGATGAAATATGATTAGAATAATTCCCAAAGTATGCTTAAATTTTCGGTCGTCGCATCAAAAAGGCCCCTTTGACGGGAGCACTTAAATGTCCATTGTTTATGATATTTATGAAAAGAATCTTTAATATAAAATTACACTATTTGGAGGGACTGTTGCAACGGTTGGGCAATTCTTCTGCAAGGTCAATTTTTTAAACAGATGTCATGGTTTTTGCTACTTTTGAAATGGTATCAGAGTTTCTTGCGTTATCACAGTTTAAGTTTGACATTGAACAAGAGAAAAAGAACAATGCGACGGAGGAACTTAGAACCTCGTCGGACTCCACAAAATCGTCACTTAGCTGTGAAATTGGATTCGATTCGTTTCAATTACACGTTTGACCCAACCGCGAGAACGCTCGGCTCCGAGGCAACGTCAATTTACAAAATGTCCGAAGCGTGTCGCGTGTCGCGCGAAATCGTTATCCACAACCAGTGGCGAACCTATATTTATCCGTCACTAATATATCCTATTTATTAGGCCTTTCATCTTTTGTCCTAAGATTTTTTCATTTCTTCAACCGATGAGGAAATATTTACAGTACTGTAGGAGTCTAAACGAAAAGTAAGGCACGGAGATTCGAACCCATGATTCTCGGATCCATAGTCGACCGTTTTTCCTACACGACCAATCTCGCATCTACGTATCGTGTTCCCGTTTGACTCCATCTTCTTGGGTATGGGAAGCGTAGATACTACAGCAGCGAGTGTCAAAAGTTTTCAGTCGAAAAATTTAACACTAAACCTACCACGACCAGTCAAATGACCGTTTTCAAACTATTGTGTACACAGTTCTTGTACAAAATACTAGCTGCGCCCCGCGGTTTCACCCCCGTGAAATACTATTCTCATTCACGTAGAAGCAATAATTACTGTAGTGTTTATGCAAGTATGTAATTAGGTACTTCGTAACAGCCGAACGCATTTAACTGGGTGTAATGTAAAGATAGATTTTTAAATGTAAATGTTAATTACGAAGTCGATCGTGCGATGAATGATCTATAATTCATTTCTCTATGAATTATTTTCATTTTGTATTATCTTCTAAACTATGCGAAAAAATAACATGCTCTAAAGGGCAAATTTTGTCTTCATAAAATTTCCCAGATGATAAAATGATTCCTTTTTTATAAAAATGAATATATTATACCTAGTAAATGCCCTTAAAGTTCATTTTATAATTTTCAATTCATTTTTAATATAAAAGACATTATTGTGGTTTAAATATAAAAAAAGCTAGATATATCGTGTCCCTGACTTTTTTTTTAATCTATTGATAACCAATATTTTTGTATTACATTGTTTTCACGTATATCCAACCATTTGGTCAGCGTACGCCGATAAAGTAGCCAAGCAACTCGTTTCTTCCGACTTGATTCACAAATGTTGAAATTTCAAATTTTTATCAAAATAAAACATAGCCTATGTTACTCAGTGATAGTGTAGCATTCTATTTGTGAAAAAATTTCTTAAAATCGATTCAGTAGTTCCGGACATTACCCTGCACATACAAACAACTAAACAAACTTTACTTCTTTATACTATTAGTATAGATAAAGATCCGCAGTCTAGTAATTACTTTTTGTTAAATCTGAAAGTTATTGTGCATTACAATGTAAGTACATCGGGTCTGAATGGGTCAAGTCGATCAATCGTTTTTATTATGTTCATTCCCGTTTCAGCCCTGCTACATCTAGCCATAAGTTGCGAACATGGTCACTCACACTGGCATAGGCTCCCCCTTTCTAGGCATATTCGAGATGGACGTCATGTTCTTGGGTCGTGCGATGCTGATCTGGAATCTGGCTTTCAGGGCTGGCTCGTCGAAGCACGGAAAAGCGCGTCGCGCGTCCGTCGCCTGGAATTGTGTCGCCGCGATCCATCTGTAACACAAAACCGAAAGCGAGTTCGGTAAACAGCCAATGGAAAAAGCGTGTTTGCACGTCTCGGGGCCGAGTGTCCGTTCCCTGTGTCCGTCCAACGGCGGCAAACCCTCCCCGCGGCCGTTATCAGCGACGACTATCAAGAGACACGAGCCTCCTATTCAGCTTTCAACGATTTACTCTGGAGACGCTCAGGGAAATGACGTCGAGCTGTGTAAATTCACGGATGCCTCTTACACTGGGGAGAAATATTGTCTTCGGGGGAAGAACCGACTCGCTCCATCGGACGAAAGCCGATGGAGAGGGGCGAGGGGGTGAAATTTCGCTTCTTTTGAGAAGTTTCGCGATGAACGGAAAGCGTGGAAGCGAACGGTACAGTTCAATGGACGTAATCGTGGAGAAAATCGGACGAGAGTTTTCTTTTTCGTTCGGTTAAATAGTGGAGTGAAATCTTCATCTTGATATATGAAGGATAGTCACCGAATATATTACTTTGCGATTAAATATCGATTGATGTACGTTTCGAGTAAAAAAGAAATATGACTCGAAGCGCGAAGGATTTCAAATTTTTGAGGGTTATTATGATGTTTGTGTGTGAGCCCTTTTATATCGTGTTAATTATTTAAATATAATAATATTGACCTATGTAATGTATTATAATGTGAATGTTGGATGAATGTTTATATTTAAACCACTAGGTATGTTTGTATGTTTTATAATTATCAGTTATGTTTATCAATTTGTGTTAGTAATATATTGATTAGTCATTCAATTTGTATTGCGATTTAATTTTGTCGGATATATTGTGTGTTATCTTGGAATTTCGACAGTTTTCGCCGAACCTCTAAGTAAATATCTTTACATCTATTAGTTGTTTTAGTTAATTTCATTACTTTAAGATGACCTAGTAAGAGTCAGACTCGTGCTGGCCAAAACGTTTCGAATTCTTGTTGCTAATAAAGAGTTAATATCTATGTAACAATTTAATACTGTTTATTGGTAGCTACGTGTTATAACACCATATCAATACGATGTAAAGTAATTATATAACTTTTGTAAAAAAAAGAAATTTGAACTAGATATTCGAACAGCTGATTGAAAAATTCAGAATATTTCATAATGGGTTTCTGAAATTATTAGTTTCTATATAAATATATCTGCCGACAAAGACATTTTTATTTCTATGAATTAATATTGCCAGACCATCAAATTTGTACATATATAACAGTTTAATTAAATCCTGCATATTTTCGTAATAGTCACGAGTTTTCGTAATAGTGTACGATATAATAAAAGCAAAACCACACAAGCATGTAGGCAAATTCTTACAAAAACATGAATATTAGACACAATGATACCAATAAATATTTCCGATGACCTTAAATGAGAAATATTACTTTTTTATTATTTATAATACATACTCTTTGTCAAAGCTAGAAGAGATCACTTACTGATTGATGATCATATTTATTTATTACTCGAGTGTGATGGTTCATGAAATTATAAATATTATATTTATTTTTAATTAATACATAGAATATGACAGAAATCGCAGTGTAATTGGAAAGAATGTAGTGTTACTTTTTAAAACAAGATGTATTTATTATAGAGAAATGTGACTTGCCAAAAATGATTCGAATTAAGCGTTCAGAATTTCACCATCGACTGTATTAAAAATTCCTATATGCAGTCTAACCTTCACTCGTGAAATCGTATGAAAGCAATTATTCATGGTAAAGATATTAGAATCGTCGAAGGATAAAAAGCGAAAGCTGCTCGAGTATTGAAACGATAGATTGTACTAGTTATACAGTTCATCATAATTCAATTCACGAAGTGAAACTTTGCTAAGAATGACACAGCTAAATGTATGCTTAAATATGAATGTTATCGTTTGAACGAAACTCTTATTTTCAGCACAAGTGTACGAAACTTTATTCCAAAGGTTAACTTAATTTTCAAGGTTAGATTTTTTAATGCGTCAATCTTAAAAACCTGACAAACGGATATTTTCGTCGTTTTCTTCTTGTTAAAGTTATAAAGTCGAACACTCGTATATTCTATATCTAATTAATACTTCACGCCATATTCAATAACTTCATATTCAATAAAACAGCACAGGAACGAAAGAAATTAAATAAACTCAATCAATTTTACCCCCTTACCCGACTAAACCTATTGCAAGATGAAATAAATTTCATTTAAAATTCAAGGAAACGAGTACTTTATGTAATAGGCGTACAAATAAGTTCGGTAACCCTTTACATATATTCAGCTGTAATTACATTTCAAATTGAAATTTTCTTTCCCGCCGATCGGTGTTTTGAAGGTATTAGCTTCATGCTACTAAATTCACTATGTAACTTTAACCTAATTGGTATATAACCTCGAAAAACAATACTTCGCACCATGACGTTTCAGAAAAAGCAGATTAGACATTGTATGTTTTTTGCATTTAAGTTGAAGAAAAATGCTACTGAGGCTACAAAAATGATTCTTCAGATTACCATCTTTTTCAGTTGCTATAACACCACTTAGTTGATTCTCATTTCAAATCTTTCGAAGAAGTCGAAAGAAGCATTAATAAGTTCATTGAATCAAAACCACCATCTTTTTATAGAAATGGAATGCGGCAACTACCCGAAAAGTGGAAGAAATGTGTAGAAAGTAATGGTGATTACTTTGAAACATAACATGTATTTCTTTTTCTTATAAATAAACATCGAATATACATATGATGAAAAGGCATCGAACTTATTTGTACACCTAATACTTGTAGTCTAGGGTGAGTACCCCTAGCATCTAATAACGTTTTAAAAACAAACCAGCCTATTATAATAAACAAATCCGTTTCAATACTCCGAATGGATCAGTCTACTGTGTAATTAATCTTTTTTCATTTTTACTCATAAGTCTGAAATGTATATTAACATACAGTGCGTGTAGAAAGTATTCGTACACCGATCAATTTCCAAAAGAACTATGTAAAATTGTAATTTATTAACTTATTTTTTATAAACAATGACATTCTACATATTCTCGGAAATCTCTAGAATAGGTAGAATAAAAAAAAAAAAGCTATTTATGTAAGTTGCGAACGTAACAAGAAAAAAACAATTAAAAAAAACAATTAATCGATAGAAATGTTGAAACAATACATATTCGCACAACTGTTTAAAAGTACTTTACTGGAAATATGATGTTTTCTAATTCGTACGGAGCAATAAACTAATGTGTTTATGTTACAAACTCTGCTGTAAATGGTTCGTCATAAGAATCGTACAAATACTTATTGCTTCTATACTTTTACCCACTTTTCGCATTTCTTTTTGTTAATTTCACAAATTATATTAACTAGTAAATGTTGTTTGGACTATATCTATCTTAGAGACTTCCGAGAATATGTAAAATATCATTGATTACAAAACAAGAAGTTAAGAAAGTACAATTTCACAGAAAAGTTTTTTGGGAAATTTATCGGTGTACGAATACATTCTATACCCACTGTAAGTGGTCCTGAAGTTGCGCTCCGCAATGTACAAGAAAACGAGTACCTTATGTACTTGTAGTCTAGACAGTAGCCCTACCAGCTAATGACATTCTAGAAACAAAGCAAGCCTATTGTAATAAACAAATCCGTTTCAATGCTCCTAATAGATCAGACTACTTGTACCTCGAGATATCGCTTGATAAAGCGATTCACATTTACAAGACGCAAATAGCTGCCACTTATAAGGTAGAATTAAACTGCCGGGGCGTTTACCTTGTCTGATTGCCAACGGTGTACGAGCTCCTATAGAAACCTTCCAGTCGGTCGGTCAAATAGCCAACAAACTTGAGATGCACTACGTATTGCTTGCCTCCCTTCAACGTGTCCGACGTTTTAATCACGTGAAACTCCCGTTCGGTGTCGTTCATCTGTTCTACGATTCCAATTGCTCTGGATGCCTTGTCGTTCGACGCTGTGTACTCCCTGATGTTCGTGAAACTTTCGTCGATGTCCATGTTGACCGCGTGAAGCGTCACGTTTCTCGTGTTCTCGGTGACGTTTACAAGTATCTTCACCTAGGAGCAGAAACAACACAGTGAACCAATAGGTGCGATCAAATCCCATCGCGTTTTCTCTTCTTTTACCCTCAGCGTCACTTGTGTAATCTTTCACCCGGTGGGTCGTTGGAGACCCTATTCTAACTTAGAAGTTAGGACGCACTGACGTGTCAGTAAAATACACGATTTCTAAGCAGTAGCCAGAAAGAAAAGTAAACAAACAATTCGTGTAAAGTTTTGTATTTCATTTCAGTATTGTATGAATTTAAACAAATCCTGGAAACCTTTTAAAAAATTGTTGCTCTTGACGCCCTGCGACGCCTTCTCTAGAAACAGCTTTTTCTTCGGTATGGTGTACACCAGTGTTTCCTAACGTGGAGCCCACAACCTCCAGGGGGGGGGGGGGGGGATTCGATTGTTAGGGGGAGCAATTTGAAAATGGACTCGTCCAGATTTTAGGTTAACCTTCCTCTCCTACGGTGGGTCGTATGCGAGGATTGTCACCTAAAACGCATTTATCACGCACAAATGGAGGTAGTACTCACTAAAGAAGAACTTCCTTTTTAAAAACAAATTAATTTTTATTTATAATCTTTGGGTGATTTCAATCTTACGGAATTCAGTCTTCACAGTTGCAAAAATCTAATGATGTAGGTAATTATTGGGTTGGTGCACAAGTATCTGCGGTTTAATTTTACTTTCATTATGAAAAAAGAAACATAAAACTTCAACAGAAACATATACATGTTTGTTTCGAAAATTTACTTACCGTGTTTGCTCAATAATTTCCTAGGGATTTCATCCTAAAACCTATCATTAAAGTTTCTTTAGTGAGCATTTCCATTTTTTAAATATTCAAAATTATTTATATATTAAGCATTTTAGAAATGCTTGGGTGAGGCATAGCACAAAAAAGGTTGGGAAACACTGGTGTACACCATTCCGGATATAATTGTAAGTGAAACCCCAGAAATGTCGAGAGCGATCGGCGAAAGGAAAGAGTAAAACTGTTTCTGCCCGTGAAACTTTTCATACGTGTCAATTTTATTTTCATTCAGCTCTTTTTCTCGTCTGACTTCTTTTTGCTGACGTTCTAGAAAAACGTCTACCGAGCAAGGAACGAAACGGTGTTTCGAACTTTCTAGTTACGATCACTCACTAAACAAGTTCGTGTCCGTTCACCCCTGTAGATGAACTCGCGATCGTCGTTCTCGTTTTTGATATTCCTTTGCGAATGCATAAAAAAAAGGAAGATGGGACGGTGAGATATCCTCGAAGGCTGGGAATTAATTACTGCCCTCTTGATCCACATCTTTTGACGCGAAGTGCTTTCCAAGCATCAGGACTACCGATCGATTTCTCCCTTTGTTCGTCAAACAGAAGAAGGAATTCACGAAACGTTTGAAAATAACACTTCTAGTTATCCGTTTATTCTGTAATTGATACCGAAGCTTTGAAAAACTGAAATGTAAAAGCATACCGAATGTTCTTTGCGAGCGCGAGACATCCTTTATTGGATATAATTAGAGCATGATTATTCGAAGTACTATTTCAAATAAAGAAGACAAAGGTAGCTCGTTAAAGCAATAGTTTCGGCCTTGTTCTTTTAGGGCTTCATCGGCAAAATTACAGAAAATATAATTATCAGTTCATAGCAGGCAGGAACTTACAAAATATAAGATATAAAAGTAAAGTGTAAATGATAGTTAATTTACACGAAATTTACAATGTGCAAAGATTAAAGTTTCCAAAGATAGCAGAAAATACAATAAACAGAGTCATCCCGTCAAGGACACCCCGTATAATATACTGGTACGTTTTAATTGAAAATTTAATAACGAAAATGTTATTAGTTTTAAGAAAATATTATAAAAAAAATAAATAGGTATATAAATGCATGTCCAAGTAATGTTAGAGAGAACATGAAACAAAAGAAGTAAAAGGTGCGAATAACCAAAAAACGAGAAGTACTTTGAAAGTGGAATCATCTATTTATGAGTATACTAATAGAGTTATTATTCCTATTTTACAATATATAAGAATAGACTGTACAATTTTTACAAAAATTCGTTTACCGTAGAAAACCTAACAAGGCAATATTGAAATATATTGAAATGTATTCTGCACACTGGCAAGATTGTTGATTGATATTTCTAGTCATTTAATTAATTAAAATACACAGCATTTGAAAATATATCTAATTCAGAGGCAAAGAAGGTATATAATTGGCAAAATATACAAAATGGACTGGTTAAATATCTCAAATGTCTACAGGCGTTCCCTTATCCGATTTCTTCTTTGCCAATGGAAAAAGCGAAGTGAAAAAAACTTAGATCAACATTAAGATTTTCATAAGCAGTGGTTATTATGAAATCGATTTAATCGAATAACCAGTTCTCGCACGACCAGCAAAATATGTAAATTAGCACAGTCATCGCATCGATGAAATATTCTCGTTCAAGGCTAGGTCAAGGAACATAAGAGGCTAGACTTAAGCGGGTCAAAAACTTCTTAACGATCGTTAAACTATATTTCCTGTAAGTTTTACATAGAAATTTCACCTGAATGCTACTTGAACGGGAGGAATAGTTCTAGGCTTAAAACGCCCGAAAAGAAGAGTTGCAAACTCAAAACGAAGGATATGAGGACGAAAAAGTATTGCTATATGCTGCTGGAATCGTTGATTAACCAGTAAGTAGTTTATATCAATTCATTACTGTTTGAACTTTTTCATTTCCGTATTTTTTTTCTGAACGCGTTGGTTTCGACTTTTTTTCAGTTTGTATATATTCTAACTCAAAAACTTTGTAACCAATCATTTTAAAAATTGATAGTTCCATTATATAATTAGGCTCTAATTTGGAGTAATGTCATTGTTGACAGTATTTTTTTATTATAAAAGAAGTTCTGAAAAAGTGACATGAAACTGCACTTTTGTTGAAACACCTCTAAAAATGCAATTTGCAATTCTTTAGGGGGGAGGTTAGGTTCATAGAGAAGAAGGACATGGGCCTAAAGTAAATATGAAACTCTATTGGTTTCAGATGAAAACTGTGGTCTTCAGAATGTACACAATCAGTTACGTCTGATGGTGCAGTTGATATCTTCCATATTTTCTGATGAGATACTTCAAAAAAATTACTATATTTACTTGAATATATGTATAAAGTGTTCTAAAAGTTTCAATAAATTATATATATACTTTTCTTATGAAAAAAATTCATACATATCGCTACTGATATGAAGTCTTAAACCCATTCCCCCCGTTAAGGGATTATACACCTCCAGAATTTAAAAAAAATATCGACAATTTTTTATTATTGAGTATTGTTCTTTATTGTTTGCAAAGTATTTAAGAACAAGAGGCATAAAGACACGTATATAAGTGACGAATGTACGTATAATGAATCATGTAAACGCGTGGACGCACACTGGTTCAAATCGGCAAAAGTCGAAAGGTTTCTGATATCAGAATTGCAAAATTCAAAATGACAGATTCAACACGGCCGATTTATTTTGCAATTAATGGTATATGATTACAATTTCGTATAGATATTCTTTCTAGAATTATCTATCATTAATTCATCAAACTTCTTTGTACAGACATTATACTTTTCTATAAATTAAGAAAGAATGATGTTTTAATAAAAAGTCCCACATCTGTTGTACATTTAGCTGTGCGCCATTTTGTGAGAAATCAAAATAATTAAAATCGACTGTGGAGACGACTAGTTCTATTTATGTATTTGAGAAAGACGAGAGATAATGATCGAGAAATAATGACGATATTCTTTGGATTATTGCTGAAGTTGTTTGCGAAAAATGTTCGTACGGAAATAATCGCGACACTGGTAATTTTACCAATTTCTAAATGAAACATGCTATAGTAATAAATAAAAGCATACAGTCTAGAAAGTTTATAGTAATTTATGGCCAAAGAAAATTTTCTATTCAAAAGTTGCGCAAAGTTCGCCTCGCTTTCGCTTGTCCTAAGCATACATAAGAGACATTGAGAGAGAAGACGTGTATACTACCTCGCCATTGAAAGTGAAGTTTCCCTCCCATATAAAGGGTGTCAACCTCAGCTCGTAAGAGTCTGGCACGATGGATCTCGGTAATCTGACGTCGAGTTTCTTCTTGTTGAACAGGTTCGGGGACAGCATACCGCGGGATTCGAATTCCGAGTTCATGAGATCGTTGCACGGCTTCGTGTGGATTTCCTGGAGACATGAGCCGAAATGATAGACGAGAAGTCCCGTCACTACCAACGATATCAGGAACGCTGCGCCCAAGAGGAAACCGCCGCAAGGGGAAATCGTGCATCCTCTCTTGCGTCCAAACGTTGTCGTGTGCGCGTCCATCATTGCCAAAACTTCGCGGGACTGGGTCATATCATGTGGAAACCTGAAACCATCCAAACAAACTCACATAAGTTTTCGAGGAAAACTGGTCTTTCTTCGTGTGCACAAATAAGGACATTCGCCCTAAACGATAGTGCCAGTAATTTTTAAATTTTTGTGTCCTCAATTGTGGACGCCAGGCCTGACAAGGCTAGCCTTACTGACGTGAATTCACGTCATTTCAAAATTCTATTCCTGGTTACGACAAAATTATAAAAATCTTTTTATTTTATACACTACATATTTACAATATTGATATTACAAAACATATTTCTTATCATTTTTATCTTCCCCCTAACGATACTTTGCGATGTTCAGCTTCAAAATTTTATTATACTCATCATTTCTCGGTAGTAGAAACGTAAAATACCTGTTTGCCGGTCGCGAATGTGTTAACACTAGAACTGCCGATATCATCGCGACTCTATTATAAATACGAGAATATCTTTCAAATTAACCCAACAGTGAGCATTGATGCACATATGCACAAACCGCATTTTTCTTTGATATTTTATTACACAACAACATAAACAACAACTTATGCACTGTTCCTAACAGGAATAAGACGTCTACGATACAAAAAGGTCACGTCACCATTGAAGATAATTATTTCTGACGTCACATCTTAAAATTACCATCAGAATTTTTGCGATAGTGTTATTCGTATTTGCTTCAATTTGAATGTATAAAATCGATTCGTTACTATACACGGTGTTTCTGAATATGTGAGACCTTTTTGGAGGATCAAAGTCGAATAGTCCTTTATTAGGCTTCGTTATCGAGATATGTTCAGTTGCAATTTACAGGTGTGACTTTTAGCGCGTGCTGTTAGAGTCCCGGCCAGCTGTTCGCGTGGCTGCACATGAACGCACTCACACAACTGAAATATACACCGATGCACGCTCGCTGTTCGAAAATATACTACAATACACTTTGGACCACGTCATTGACATCTATTTAGCACAGGTTGAGCCAATGATCTCCTACGACTTGGCATATATTTTAGGCGATTCATCATTTGCAAATGCGTTTAATCAGCATTTTTATTCCATTTGTATCTATTCAAGTCGAATTTTTGTATCACTGGTCTACATTACACGTTTATGTAGGCAAGAAGTCATGACCCAGACGTTGAAAGGTATATTAATTTAAATGATAATAGTTATACCCATAATCCACCCCTTCAATTTGGTTTTTTAATTGGGAGAGTACGAGGAAGACAAGGGCGAGAATGTTCTCATTTGTGAAACTTCTCTTATTCATTAACTCTCTTCTACAATTCTTCTACCGGCTTAAATTTGTCCTATACCACCGTATTCATCAAACCTTTTCTGCTCTAAATGGTTTTTCTACATTTAAATTTCAAGATTCATCAATTGTAAACAGGATAGAATACACATTTTTAACCGTAATATGTGTGATTTGTTTGATACACTTTTGTAAATGCGATACAAATCATTAACGAGAAATTATAACATGGTTCAAGAGTGCTCGTTCCTTGTCACATCTATACCTGAAGGTTTCTCTGGACGATATAATTTATATACAGTGCGTGTAAAAAGTATTTGTACACCGATCAATTTTCCAAAAAAACTGTGTAAAATTGTAATTTATTAACTTATTTCTTATAAACAATGACATTCTACATATTCTCGGAAATCTCTAGAATAGATACAAAAGAAATAGTTATTTATGTAAGTTGCGAAATTAACGAGAAAAAAAACAATTAATCGATAGAAATGTTGAAGCAATGAATATTCGCACAACTGTTTAAAAATACATTACTGGAAATATGATGTTTTCTAATTCGTACGGAGCAATAAACTAACGTGTTTATGTTACAAACTCTACTGTAAATGGTTCGTCATAAGAATCGTATAAATACTTATTGGTTCTATAATTTTATCCACTTTTCGCATTTCTTTTTGTTAATTTCACAAATTATATTAACTAATAAATGTTGTTTAGACTATATCTATCTTAGAGACTTCCGAGAATATGTAAAATATCATTGATTACAAAAAAAGAAGTTAAGAAAGTACAATTTCACACAAAAGTTTTTTGGGAAACTTATCGGTGTACGAATACATTCTACACCCACTGTCTATGTATAAATAAATGGTATTTTGCAAGGGAATAAATTTGACAGAATATAACGGCTGAGTGAATTTAATTTGAAATAACGAAAATATTCATGTGATCAGAATTCGTGGATCGAACTGTATAATTATTTAGACTGTTGGACATGTATTTGTTTTCCACGAGGTGTAAACGTTGCTTGAAATGTACGAGAATGTAATTTGGTTCTCGAATGGGTAACAAACTTTCGTCGTATGTGCCAAGATAGAATTAACACGCACCGTTAAGTTTTCCTTTAGAGCATTTCGCTCAAGGACAAAGACTCAGCAACAGACGCGAAACAGGTCAACCGATTGTAAATAAAGTAAATTTTCAGCGTTCCGTTTGCCGAAGCAGTTAGCTCTATGGAAACTTGTTCATCTCCACTACGGTTTCATCCGTTATCTCTCTACTATTTCTACTCCGTTAATTTCATGCGCATGTAAATATAGCACCATTAGCATTTATGACGAAATACGCGAAGGTTGCCGTTGGATCATTGTCCCGGAGAAACTTCCTGCACGTTGTAAACAGGGTGAAGGCAACCGATCATTAAAAGTAATTTCACGTCCAGAGTGAGCACGTCAAGGAAATGCGAGTGCCGCGCTTTAAACGGCCAGAACGAATCCTTTTAAATACTTCTCGCAGGACCTTCTCAGAAGAAAAATTCATGGGTGGTAGATAGTGATTAATTTTTAGAACAGGATCACATGTTTTTCATCCTTGTGGAGAAAAACGTTGACTGTATAAATTGTGGAGAAAAGGTAACAAATCAAAATATAAAGTCAACTGGACGGATCTATTATTGGAATATAAGAACAACTAGACTCCAAAATGAACTACAGTGGGTGTAGAATGTATTCGTACACCGATCAATTTCCCAAAAAACTTTTCTGTGAAATTGTACTTTCTTAACTTCTTTTTTTGTAATCAACGATACTTTACATATACTCGGAAGTCTCTAAGATAGATATAGTCCAAACAACATTTACTAATTAATATAATTTTTAAAATTAACAAGAAAAGTGTGAAAAGTGGGTAAAAGCATAGAAGCAATAAGTATTTGTACGATTCTTATGGCGAACCATTTACAGTAGAGTTTGTAACATAAACACATTAGTTTATTGCTCCGTACGAATTAGAAAACATCATATTTCCAGTAAAGTACTTTTAAACAGTTGTGCGAATATGTATTGCTTCAACATTTCTATCGATTAATTGTTTTTTTTTAATTGTTCTTTTCTTGTTACGTTCGCAACTTACATAAATAGCTATTTTTTTTTTATTCTACCTATTCTAGAGATTTCCGAGAATATGTAGAATGTCATTGTTTATAAAAAATAAGTTAATAAATTACAATTTTACACAGTTTCTTTTGGAAATTGATCGATGTACGAATACTTTCTACACCCACTGTATCTATTGACTCAACGTTTCGATCAGATGCTGGATCTCTTCAGAGCACATATCAAAATGATGTAAAGAAAATATAGTAGATATACGTATAGTGGAAAGAAGGAAAGATAACGAGTAAAAAATAGAAAGTCAATTGGATGAATGTACTATTGGAATATAATAATAACTGGATCCCATAGTAAATAATATATTGACTTAACGTTTCGGTCAGCAACTGACCCATTTCATGGTGACATGTCAATATTGTGTAGTAGCACATAGGTTTGAACACATTTACAAGTAAGAAATAACGATGTGAGGAAAGTATGATACATTATAAATAAAAGTAAAAAATCCTCTGTATATCCTCTGTATATTGTTTACCATTGTGATTAATTTTTAGAACAGTCACATTCCATTATACCATATGTATGGTTTTATTTGTCTCTTTTTCAGTTTATAATACCTATATTTAATATAAGACGTACAATTTAATTAAAAAAATTGTAAATTTCCACAACGATATTAAATATCTCGAAACTAATAAATCGGAACGATAGTTTTCTAATGCAGCAATATTTTTCTAATTCCTTGTATCTAGTTAAATGCAATGGCAAGGTAACTACGTAAATACATGCTACGCAAGAATAAGCATTAATCGTTAACTATGATAAACTGTAATTAAATATACAGTCAGATACGGAATTTATAGTCCGTAAATTTGAAATGTTCCAGGGCAGTGCTGGGACTTCGAAAATGTGTTAACAATACCAAGTTTATGTTACTTTCAGTTCTAAATATTTAAGAATTAATATAATTAAACTCATTTCTACAACAGGTCGATAAACACTTAATACAACGCTAGAAAAATGTTTATAAAAATATGATACGTGAAATATACAGTAGTTTCCAAGTTTTCTGTCATAAATATAAATAGTCCTGTAATAACAGACATTCTTAGGTTTCGTTTATTTCCCACGGCATATTAAACAAGAGTATTGCGACTAACTGTGACGTTATCATAGAATAGTGCATTAGTATTGTTATCCTAGCTTTCAAGATATTTTAAAGTCAAATTGCGAAAAAGTGACACGTAATGAAATCCTACGAAATGGCTATACATTCGTTTAAATAATTAAATCGTTGAATACATGGCTAAATACATAATGGTAAGAATTTCTGACGAGTCCATCTCATGTAGAATAAAACAACTTAAGGATCGATAAGATGAAAGTAATGTAAATTGAACAAAATTCATTATACACATATGCATACGTAATTTCGTAAAATTAAATTTAATATACTATAGTAGTGTCAGTGGCGGTGTTAACAATATTGGCGTTCTGGGCAAGATTATCGTGGCGCCCATTCAAGGGTTACAATTTTTAAGAAAAAAGGACAAAGTAATAATATCAAACGATGAATCTGTAGTTAGATTGTAAAAATTGAACTACATAGCATAGAAAAGACAATGAGAAAATATCGGTATATTGGCATACCAGGGACACCGGACCGCGGCGCACAAATCCAGCGTCCCAGTGTATATATATATACACACTTTATTCTAATTGTAATAAATACAAACAATATATTTACATTTAAGTTTAGAAAACAATAAATAGTATTCAGATTTGAGGATATTGCACATTTCTTATATCGTGCTATTGTTAACACATTCTCGTGTATTACGCAACTGTAATCTCGCGAAAGTGTTCGTTCATTATTAGTACATTTTTTGTTACATAATAAGATTTTACGTTCTCGGTGACAGGAATATGAATGATGTCAGAATTCAACAAGAACGATTACACGATTTGCGAAGAAATAAGGTAAATCGATACCAGCAGGTTTCTCTCCGCTCACACGAAGACGTACCGGTAAATGCTTACGGCATGCCAATTGCTATGAAAACTTTGCAAGAATTTGCTGGCGCGCCAAGTGTCGCAACAAACGATCACACTCATAATACAAACATCTTACTTACGGTATCACCCAGTTTCAATGATCTTATTTTGAAATAAATATCGAGACTTTCCAATTTAAAAAACAAGCAATTATTTATTTCAAGAAATTTGCTTGGATGATTGCAGGAAAACGAGTTGAGAATTAAAAGAAGGAGTTCCACTTATTCGGTATAACTTTACTGTCCATAACAAAGGTGGCCAAAATTTAATTAAAATTATATTTGTAATATATGAGCCTGCATATTACGTTTGAATTAAACAAAAATTTACAAACTCGAATGGTATTATTTAGACCAAAACTATAATAGATTATTACCAGATTATTATTGTATTTCTTTTATGTTCCAAATCTATACATATTTCGAACACCATGAATGGTTAGAAAATATACAACAAAGACATTTTTAATGTAATTAATAGTAGCTATCCCGATATGATGCAATCTTCATTTTTCAATATAATTGTCATTCAGATTGCTTTATAAGAGAATGCTTTACTATCGACATGTTTTGTGACAATTATCATTCTGAATGGTAAAAGAAAGTTCAGAGTATCACTGTTTGTCTACCAACAGTACCAACGATATTTTCTACTGTTTAAATAAAAGTATGAATGTATTAATAAAATTACATCTATTTCAAATTGTAATTTTCATAATTTATTAACTGTTTATCTTTTAATCGTTACTCGACGTTTTGTATCTAGGCGACAGTGTTACCCATCTCTGATCTGTAAGATCACTATACTGATTTCATTTTTGAGCTTTTGTCACGTACCGTTGTTTACTTGCAAATTTTTGGCTTTATCGCGTAAAATATAACACTTAATCTGCTGACGATATCAGTAAATACAAAATATGCTATTTTTTGAAATTGATAACACGATGTTTCACCAAACTAACGATAATCACATTAATAAAATAAACTAAAAGGGTCGATGATCAAGTGTGCGTCGAAATTAGCCGATGGATATTTATTCGCGAATTTATTCCATTATCATGTCTAAAATAACAATTAAACAGTTATCGATATCATCGTACTTTACGCATTCACTATTTTTAAATTAATGCTTTTATCAAACCGTTAATAATGTATTCCATACAATTATTGAAAATTACGGTGTCTGGTTTAGCGTGCAAAGAATTACATATTGTTCGAGCAAGTTTCCACTTTGCCTAAGAATAAAATACTGTAATTCGCGGCATTTGTTAAATATAATTTCATCCGTAATTCGAATTCTGAGCGAATGGTTAGTCGTTCACCTTTCAGTTGTTATTCAGAGTGTTTATCCAGGTAAGAAATTTGACCGCTTCAGTTTTATTTACAAAAGTAAGAATACAGTGTTCGAATGATTGAATAGTAAAACGTGTTCTCTATGTACCATTAACAATCACCGCATTCCTACAACACTTACGCATTTTAACTATAATTGTTAATTATTACATTGGTTGAAAAGAGCTGCAAACTGTTAACCGAAACATTGCTTATGAAATTGATAATTCTCATCAGTTAACTTTAATAAGCAAAGAATTATACGTACTATTCGAACAAATTTCCAATTTACCTAAGAACAAAAATACTACCTTTCAATCTTTGCTGAATACAATATCATTCCGTAATATAAATTCTAATCTTCGTTCAACCAGCAACAAACGGACGGTCGTTTATCTTTTAATTGTTTCAATTCAAGTTATTTATTTCTTAGTGCGAAATCGGTACTTCCGACTATAATACTTTTGTTCGTTTCTTTAAATTGCTATTCGAAGTATTCGTCCAGCTATCCTTTACAAAAGTAAGAATAGTGATTGGATGATCGAACGTTCGGATACTGGATCGCGATTCTAATAATAGAACGTGTTCTCTACATACTATAAACAATCACCGTATTCCTACAAACACTTATGCATTGTAACTATAACTCTTAAGTATTTGTTTGCAAAGAGCTGCAAACCGTTAACCAAAACATTGCTCATGAAATTGATAATTCTCACTCATTTTCATCAGTTACATTTAATAGGCAAAGAATTATACATACTATTCGAACAAATTTCCAATTTATCTGAGAGCAAAAACACTACCTTTCAATCTTGCTGAATGCAATATCACTTTGTGATTCGAATTCTAATCCTCGTCCACCGTGCACCGAATGGGCAGTCGTTTATCTTTTTTAATAGTTCAACTTCAAGTTGTTTATTTATTATCAAGTGTAAAGTCGATATTTCCGACCATAACATTTCTATTGCTTTCTTTTAGGTGTTCAAGTGTTCGTACAAGTAAGAATTTCGCCCAACTTTCATTTACAAAAGAAAAAATGTAACGATTGAATGTATCGCAATTCTAATTCTAATAATAGAACGTGTCCTCTACGTACCATGAACAGTCACCGCAGGGACAATTAGTTTAACGCTGTAAGTGTCCTGGAAATTGGTGGAACTGTTACAGACTGTAGCTGTTGGAACCAACGGTCACTTATCGCTCGGAGAGCCGCCACCAAATGTTACTTTCCGAATTGCCGTGGCACCGAGAGAAACGTACGCGAAGGGAGATAGATCAACACGAACCGGCGCGAGAACCTCCCGCTCGGGCCGACGGTTTGCGCGCGACTACCAAGGACCGACGCGCATTTCGGCTTCGTAACTTCCTCCATCCTCTCCTTGCCATCCAAGCTTCCTGCCCGCCCCATCGCCCACTCGTCGATCGTCGTATCACCTTCCGTAACCTTACATCCTCTCACCTGCATGCCGTCTTCCGGATCACGCGAAACCGTACGATCGTTTTCCGTCTCGCCGACGACAGGATGCCGCAGGATCGACGAATCCTTCGCCTAACCGTTTCTTACTCGATCGACTATCCTCCTCGCAGAAGCAATCCTCGAGTTGATTATACTTGCGTAGCGCTGTCAAGAATAATGTTGTATCTTGCTGTATTATTGCAATTATACGTTGTATTATGATCTGTGATGTTCGAATACTCCGTATTTTGCAGTATTACGCTGTATTTAGATTGAATATTAATTATTATACTGTGTTGCAATACGCATAATAATGTTGTACCTTGCTACACTATGCTATTGCTATGGATTTTGGAGTCTCATTTCAAATAATAATGCGAACGATACAAATCTAAACTTGGTCCATGATTTATTTAATTTGATAAAACCAGAAATACAGAATTATTCAATAGTACTTAATATACAATATAGATAAGCAATTCAAGACCTATAAAATGCTATATATGACATAAAATAATTTAAATACTTTTATTTACTTTAAATATTCGTTGAAAAAGTACGTAGAAAGAACGAAGGAAAATTGAAAAAACCCTTTGCTTCATATACCAAATACCGATATAAAAGCATGAATTAATACAATTAACATATTCGTTTCTACTGCATGTACAAGTTCCTAAAGAGTAAACTTGCGTTACTGATTAATGAACCTGCACGCATTCAAGCGTGAAAGTACGCCATATTTCATTTCCTAGATCGACGATATCGTTCACCAATAGGAAGAGAAGGAATCGGTCGACCAGGTTGCTAGACTGGGATTTAAACTCGGTTCTTTCGTTACACGACTGCTCTGACCAATTGAGTTATCTAGGTTGTCGGCGGATTCCGTTTCCCTAGCTCGAACAATCGGAAATAACTGTGCGATCTTCGGTCAGCCAATGAGAATCTCTTTACTCGCGTGCAAAGCTCCAAAGCCGAAATTAATATTTAAACAACGATGTTTATTGATGCAATTTGATATACTAATTAAGAAATTTAATATATTTAAAGAGAGAAGAGTAGGCCAAGTGCTAGGTAAACTAAATAAAGCGAGTGTTTTGAGATATACCTTTTAATTAATTTGATTCATTAATATGTGATAATTAAAATAAATATATTATCAAACTGATGAATTTAATAAATATTATAACAAATGACTTGTCACGTAGTTAATCGAATTGTTACTGTTCAAGGATGAATGAAATTTCTAATTGATCCAATTAAAACTGTAAAATTTATTAGTCTGAATGCTATATTTAATGATACAAGATGAGTAAATATAGAATTAGTATTCGAAATTCGCATGTGACATGCTACTGTTATTAAGAGTACAGCATCATAATTGTACTAGATCATTTGTATATTTGTAATATATGAGCCTACACAAATCGATTAACTCCACTTTCTGAAAAATTTTAAAATTAAGTGTCAAAGCTTGGTATAGTCAAAAAATTATTTATACTTATAATAACTTTCCTGAATAATAAAGATTAACACTATTAAACGACAAAATTTTGTTGGCCATTGGATAATAAATAATTAAATATAAATAATTTGACCATTGAATATACATAATAAATAATTGATTTCAGAGACCATTTCATCGGATTCCTCAACTTTTTATTTCATGGAGTTAATCGATTTGTGCGACGAACGGCTCATATTATGCTTACAGTAAATAAGTCAAGCTGCTACAAAATTCAATGGATCGTACCACACGTGTTTGACATACCCACCTTAATGGAACAAGCTGAAACGTTATTGATTAGCACTAGACTGTCAATACTATGTTATGCCAATAGTAATGTAACATCTTGAAGTCAGATATAGAATTTGTGTCATGTTCAAAAAATACATATAGAGTTACGATAAATATGCGTCACAAGATCTAAATTACGAGTTTGGAAGAAGTATACACGCAGTGAAAGGATATAGAACAATGAAGAAAAAATTGAAAAGGGTTACATGTCTCACAGACAAAAAGTGTACACGTAGCTATTATGAGGAAACAACGGAAGGAGAACGCGACAGAAATATGAGTGCAATTATTTTAATTAACGAAGAATTATATTATTATAGATAGTAACGATCGTGCTATCTGCGCTTTTAATTTAGTATTTTCATCTCGCAAGCAACAGTTGTAATTCTCCTGTTCTAGACACCTGGAGCGTAACACAACAGAACTTGGATGATTGCAGGAAAACGAGTTGAGAATTAAAAGAAGCAGTTCCACTTATTCGGTATAACTTTATTATCTATAACAAAGATGGGCAAAATTTAATTAAAATTATAAACGAAGAATACAGCCATCCTTTGGCGAATTATTCACGACGTTTATTCTACAGAATTTTATTTATTCACTGTTCAATATTTCAATCTATTATCGAAATTCTAATTTTTATTTTTTGAGTAATAGATCAAAGGTGTTTATCTTCGTTGGTTATTCGAATGTTTATCTGGACAAATATTTTACCCATTTCTGATGAACAGTTATTACTGTGCGAGGCTGAGAAATTAATCACTGAAGGGAATTGGGAACGTTTTAGTCAGACAGTTTAGGTAACCTTCGGTAAACCCTTATTAGGTTGGTGCATATGAAATGTCGTTTTTCCAGTGTTTAAATTATTCGAGCTGATGACATTTATTTTACTCTACACTATCGTCAATTGTTTATAATCATATTAGAGGAAGAAACATACTGTAAAGCACATACATACATATCGAATAGAAAAGACGTTTAAAATAGAAACATCCGCACCCCATTATCAAGAATTATGAATACTCGGAATGTTCACGTAACTTTTTTATATGATTATATACAATATACAGTATATATACTAATTTTATCTGAATATGAAAAAATAACGATGCAAGTTTTTGAAATCATAAATTTAACATTTAGAAGCGGTTATGAAGTTATTTATCGTCATTTTCTATCATCTGAGTGTACAATTAATGCAGAATCATATTGCAATGAACTAGAAAAAATGGTTGAAAAATTAATAAAATTACAAAATTACGTGGGAATTATTTTGATTAAATACAATGTTTTAAAAACACCTTTTCATAAATCCTCTAGAATTTTGCGTGAATTTTGGAACATGGAACATGGATATATTATTAACGACAACAACGATATATAACTACTAACCTTATTTACGATTACAGTACCATTTAAAATTAAAAAATATACCATATCAAAGTGAGACACCATATTTGTATGTTAATATTGATTTACAGATAAAGGTTTGCATGTATTCAATTAGAGCAAACAGAAATCCAATGTTTTAAAAATATTATGTATACTTAAAGTTTCATTTGTATAAACGACAGTTCATATGCTCCGACCTAATATACAACTTAATAATTAATACATGGAAAACGACCCAAACCCGTAGTGGAAATGGTTCGAACTAATTGAACGAATAGCAGAAACGGACTATACTTTGGTTCTAAATTAAATTCAATATTTAATCATATTCATAATCGTAGATTACAGCCATTGCGTTGTTCCTGGCGTGGTCCAAGTTAATAACGAAAAACGAGGCACGCTCACGGGTGGCGGGCCATGACTTATAAGCTAATTCCGGAGGAATTAGAGCGCGACGACAAGCCGTGTATTTATTTTATTTTGCGCCCATATATATTGTCGGTGGTATTTACACTCTGGTAATGGGTCACGCATATTTCCCTGGCCATTATCGAAAGCGTAAACAAATCGCATTAATGTCCCCGCCTCCGACGAGTAAACGTTAACGTGTTCGAAACAGAATTGCTTTGATCGATCTAAGCGCACCGACTATTCCGCACGTTCTACCGAGTCTACGAAATTGCAGCTCGTGTCGAGTCAACACGCACATTAACACTGCATTAATTGATTGTTTGATCGCAAACAGGCGACGTGTGACGCCTTTTGTACCGCTCCATGTGCCACAAAGTTTCAAACATACGTTCACACTCTGCCAAGCCTGATAACATCATCTGCCGAGTGACTCTCCCATTTAGTAAATTATTTCACATCAAAGATAGCCGAAATTCTCCTAGAATTAAAAATAAACTTCGGATTTTTATGCGAATATAAGAAATTTTAATCTGCAAGAAATTTTAAACTGCACACAGTATGCTATAATACAAGAAACTATTGAAAGTAAAGTTCGTGTTATAATTTTCGAGAGTAAAATAAGTTCTTATATAGGTTCAATTCTTGTAGGTACTTTTGCAAAGATTTTACTTTAAATATACATATATAAAAATGTTTATTTGTTAGGCTGATTTATATCTAATTATTTGAGTCTTAAGCAATAAATATATATTTTTCATCGGTAAATAAGAACGATTCACTACCTGTTTTTTTTTTCTGAACGTTTAGTAATGACTAAACTGAATTATTTCTTTTTATAATACTTGACCTGCAGGTTCCATATGAATCATTTTCTACAAACCTTGCACAAACGGATTCATCTTACTTTTCTTTATTGCTAGCTCTACGAATCATCGTTCTGTTATGAGAAATATGAACCATTACTGCATGATTCACTTCCAGCCACGATCGTAAGGTTTCTTAAAATCTTTTTAATTATGTGTACGTTTGAGATGAGACATGGGAAGAAACAGAATGCATCTAATGCATTCTCCAGGATGACGTCAAACTTTCTTACAAGAAAATTATAATTAAATTTCAATTACACTTAAATTAGGAATTTTAATTAAGTATTTAAGATAAATAATACATTTGTCAATTTTCGTTGCTGTTATGAATAATCTTCTAATAGAATACATTCTTAGTTTACTTTTAGCAGAACTTAAATATAAGTAACCGCCATTTTTATCATTTTAATATATGTTGTCAT